CAGCGACTATACAAATAGGAATTGTAACCTCAAGAAACACCCAGTTCATTACTATAGGGTACTAGGCCCAAAACGAAAAAAAAACACTGGCTAGTACTGGCCCCAGCCGGATGTGAACAGGCTGTATGGGATATAATCGCCCTGTCGGCCCTGTCTGCCATGGAGGGCAGATGCTGCCTGAGGGCAGTGGGCAGGAGACAGGAACAAGCTGGGAGCCAAGGACCACAGAACCGGGAGCACGTGCAGCAGGGGCAGGCACCCGGCCCCAGGCAGAGGCGGATAATGGACTTTTTCATCCAGGCCGACAGGGTGGGACCGCAGACGGGGCCTGCACTGAACATGCCGGGGGATGAGGACCAAATGCAGGAGTGGAACACAGTGACAGGGGTGGTAGCAGCAAAGGCAACCATGGCGGCAGCGGCACCCGTAGCAACCCCCTTGGAGCAAGCCTGCACACGGGCAGTGGTGGACTTCTGGGCGTGTTCGCACTCTTTCACGGTGCTGGGCATCCTGCGGAGAGGCTGGGACAGGGTGGGGCCTGACCACCCGATCCTGTCGGTTTCAGAAGGTGCATTGCGGTGTGCCGACATGGTGGAAATTATTGCCTAAGAGAGCTTTGAGCTTAGTATGTAGGGCAGGGCTCGGGCGGGGTATAGGAGCTGAAGGGGGGTAGAGGTTGGAGGTAAGGGTATAGGAGAAAGGAAACCCCGAGGCGGGAGATGGAGAGGAGTAGTGCGGGAGTGGAGAGGGTCATGTAGTGCGGGGAGGAATCCTTTTTCCTCACTAGTGCCGCCCTGAGGTTGTAGGGTGTTGGAGAGCCCAGTGGAGGAGGGGATGTGCGGGTAGGGGAGGGGGGAAATGGCGTTGAGAGCGCCAAGAGGACGTAGGTTTACTGGTGTTTGGGAGATTGAGTTCTGTTGGTAGCAGTGGGGCTCGGATGAGGGGGAGTTGTGGCCCCAGGAGGGCCATTCTACTTAGGCACGTCTTCTTTGCGGCACTGGGTTGCTTGGCGGGTGGGAGCGATGCAGTACGAGGCAGGGTGAGTAGGTTCTGGAGGACCAGCCGTTCTGGTTTAGTGATGGTAAGGGGGAGGCGCCGTGCGGGCTACATTCCTCCCCCTGCGGTATTCTGGAGGGCCTAGGAGCTGCGTGTCGTGGCTACGTTGTCCCGTTTATGGTCTCGCCGGCCTATCCCGGGTACCTGCAGTGGTGATCAGGCTTGTGGGTGGTCCCTTTTCTTTGGTTGGTTACTTCTCCCCTGGACCAGCCCAGGAAGGGAGAAGTAGAGGAGGACAGTTCTTGTGAGGTGGCTGAAAGACGTCTTGTGGTTCGAGCTCTCTATGCCTTTCTTTCTTGGAGGTTTTTCTTCTTTGGGCTTGTTAGGTGTATCAGGAGCCCTCCCCTGCCTGGGCGAACCTGGCCGTCTTTTTCCTTTTTCGGGTTTTTCTTCCCTTTGTCGTTGGTTGTGTTTTGTTTGGTTGTTTCAGAGAGCTTTTGCCTTGGCCCTACTTGAGACTTGTGGACTCGATCTAGCGGGACCTGAGAGCTCGTCGTGTTCTCACAGCAGCGCATCCCAGGATGGAGGGGCTGCGGAGTGGCTGCCTAGTGTGTTGGCCGTCTGAGTCGGGGTGGGGTTGGCAGCACACAAGACTAACCGACTTGCGCTGTGTGCTCCCGACCCTTGCCCTGTGTTTCGGCCTCGGCCCCCGGCTCTCGCGGCCCACAGTGTAATCAACGACATACATACATACATACGCGCACACATCCGCATTGCCCCTCACAGGCACCGACGTGAGAATCTACACAATCTACACGAGCGAGCTTGATACAGGTAATGTATGTGTACACAGCTGCGAGCTTTGCACGTACGTAACGCTTGTACATGGTGGAAACTTTGCAGCGTGTACATACATCCATACGTACATACATCCATACACACACGGGTATGCACCAACGGAAGTGGTAACTCCCCCAGTGGCAACATCCCCACCTGCATGCTGCCCAGTACTCCTCTCATGCCCCTTTGGCGCCTCCATGTCAGCACCCCTGCCCCACCCCCGTCTGTGAAGAATCCCCCCCGTAGAACTTCCCCCCTGTCCAGCAAGCAGCTCCAGCGACCCCAACCCCAGCAACCCCAGCCCCTACCGGTGTACCCCGCCCCCCTCCTAATCTAGCCACTCGCGGGCATTTAAAGCGGTTGACAGTACACTCAAGCTGGAGAGTCTCAAGATAGCGCCAGTGATGCCAGGTGCGTGGTCGCTAGGGGTGGCACGGGCCGACCCCACCGGCTGCTACCCAACATGCCCAACACCCCCAGGCTACACAACACAGCCCTGGACCCGTTTCAGGTTCGCTGCTAACCCTAAAACCCAACGTAACAGTACGGAAACACAGGAACACACATACATACACACATGCATACACACACAAGCGTTATAACCTCGTGCGCCATCCCCGGCTGCGAATGATGACAAGGCGATGGTGTTGAGGAGGGAGGGAAGGGGGAAGAAACCTGCCGCAGCAGCAGGTGATGGTGGCGGCAGTGGCGCCTGGAGGGAACACAGACACCGAGGTTCAGAACCGACCGACCGACTCCATCACCAACCTCTCCGCCATCTGCCTGTCACACCAAATACCAGATCAGCACTTCTGTACTTTCCTTAGGACCCGCAACACCAACCTCATCAACACCAACCTCATCGGACTCGCCCCTCACCTCCACTGGTGGAATAGAATACCAATATCACCACCTCACACCCGCGCAGCCCCTAAGGTCGACCAGTGGGGGGGTGAAGGTGTACTCGACGTTTTGAAGATCAGCTGACGCCCTCAGTGACTTGCGTCAGGATGCTGATGCCGTCGTCGTCCGTCGTCGGATGCCCACTCGACGATGCCCACTACAAACAAACACCAAGGCCGACACAGCACAGCAGCGGCAACCCGCCTGGGGCCCCTCCAGAGCCTTATCCCCCACCCCCCCGGGGCACCTCTCATCTCCGCATCTCCTGTCAGCCCTCGAGGCGGTCTGCCAGCGCCCTGTCGAGATAGGCCACAGCCGGAACCACCCAGGGCGCAACAGGGCCCTGACTCGGAACGCGCCCCGGTGCACAGGTGCTGTTGTTGGAAGGTGGGTGTGGGTGGGCGAGTGGCGGGGTGTGCGGGTGAGCGGTTCCCTCCACAGTCCGCTCCGCTTAATCACCACGGGGGTGGGAGGAAAAGGGGGGTGCAAGGCCACGGAGGGAAAGACGAACCACGAGCGAGTGAAGCTGCTGCCAAGGAAAGGGTGGGCGGGAGGCCAGGGAGCGCGGGGCGAGGTGGAGCTGGCGAATGGTCCTCGTCAGCTGCAGTGCAGATTAGCTCCGCCACTGCTGCCGCTGCTGCAGCTGCCGACCCCCTGCCCGGCCCCCTTGAAATACTCCTCCTTGGGACAGCTCTCACCCCGCGGCGGCTGCCACTGCTGCTACTGCTGCTGCTGCTGCTGCTGCTGCTGCTGTGTGTGTGTGTGTGTGTGTTGACGTCGTGTCGATGCAGAGAGACAGGGCGGACACACACCCGCACACAAACATAGCACATGCAGGGGGCCCGGGTTGGAGGAGGTTCCCCTCCCCCCACCGTTCCGAGCCCTCATGACTGGTGGAGGTGCTGGTGGAGGTGGCTATGAACCTGGCCCTGTCTGCCCGCCGCCTGTCCCCGGGGTATTGGTTGCGGTGGTGGAGGTGGTTGCAGTGCTGGTGACCTCCATGGCCACATGGTCTCGGAGCTGGAACGTCCCCGGGTCGTTGGGTAACGAACCCGGCCTCTTGTCAATGACACCTGGGTGGTGGGGGGTTACGGCGAAGCACACACAGTTGACGAAAAGGAAATTGGGGGGAGAGGGAAGGGAAGGCGGGAGAGGGAGGGGGGAGAGACGAACCATGGACGAGTGAAGCTGCTGCCAGGGCAAGAGTGTACCAGACGTAGAACTGACCGAAAGGCGTTCTTGAAGGCGGCGACCTCGGGATGACGTAGTGAAGAAGATGTCGGAAAACTACCTACCTAGCCGCCAAGACTAAAATAAGCGCGGAAGAAAAGCAGTAATGCCAAGCCGTAAAGAAGTAAAGGGAGAGGGAGGGGAGAAGGGGGAAAAAGCCGGGGAAAGGACAGAGACAGGATGGAGGCGAGAGAGAGAGAGAGAGAGAGAAAAGAGGGTAGAAGCAAGCAGCAAGCTGGTTCCTGCCAGAGACTGCCTCCTTCAATGTCGTTCCCGTCATTTCTCTCCCCAACCCCCAGCCAGCTGTGCCCCCAAGATCCTGTTTTTTTGATTTCCAACCCTCAACACTCATCTTATACACATACATACACACATACATGCACTCCACTGCCGTATAGACCCCTTTCCATCCATCCCCACCTCACCATGATGCACGCGGAAGGCCCCCGTCCGCAGATCTTCGCAGTACAACCGCAACGTAACGGCTACAGAGCTGAAGGCAATCTGGTCAAAGGGGATGTCGTCCGGGGCGAATAACGCCACCTCCAGAGATTCAGGTCCCGAGGAATAGGTGTACGGCGGCGCGAGTTGGGCCCTAGGGGGGCCGGTCCAGGGCGGGCGTAAGGCAGGTGGGTTCCGGTGGGTCAATTGTGTGACATTGTGTTTTATTTCCCCTCCCCCATCTGCGGGCCCGCATACCGTCCCCCTTTCTTCCCCCTTATACACACACACACACACTCACGGAAGGGCTCCTGGTTCCCCCCGGGGGTGAAAGACCCCCTCCCCGGGGGCGGAGGGGCGGGGCCCTACCCGGCTATCACCAGAATCACACGTGCAGCTGACGCATGACCCCCTCCCCCTGGCTTGCCGTGTCCGTTAACCAACTACTAACGAACAATAAGTAGTTGGATATATATATACATATATATACATATATATATATATATCGTCGTCTGCTCAGAGTTCCTCACTTGGGGCAAAAACACGTCCTTGCATAGCATTCGTCGACTCTAGCCATCCACCCCCCCCACCCCCACCACCCCCCAGTGGTAGTCTGTATCATACCGCCACCACTGCTACCGCGGCTCCGGCTGTTACACCAGCTCGGCTCGGCCTGGCGTCATCTGTCACTGGACCCCCACGTACATCGACACACCCACATGTTGTTGTTGAGGAAATGCACAGCTATCTCCCCCACCACCCCTTACATCACCCCTGGACTGCGACTTCACCCGCCGGTAGAGCTCGGGATGTGGTCAGTGACTTCCCGGCCCCCCCCACCCCACCCCTTACATCACTCCTGGACTGCGACTTCACCCGCCGGTAGAGCTCGGGATGTGGTCGGTGACTTCCCGGCCCCCCCCGCAACAACAACAACAACAACAAGTGTGATGATCACAGCTTCCTCGCGACGTTTTGCAGTTTAATTAAATATAAACACTTACACACACACGCACCTGAAAAGGATGTACGCTTGTCCTATGTTCGGGATGTCCCAGTGCGCGTAGGGGGCGATAACCTGAGTTGGCGGGGGGTAGGTGGCGGGTGAGGGGAGGGGGGTTTGAGGAGAGCGGGGAAGAAACCGCCGGCCGCGGCCGCCTCCACCATCACCGTAAACCCCTTGCATCCCCGACATCCGACATATATACATGTATACATACATATACATACACGCATCTGTGCACGACATCATGTGATGCTGGTCCTGATGCTCCTCCACACGTCCCCTGCCCCTCACAGCGCGTCACAAAACACATGCCTCACAACGCCAGGGCTCCCCTCCTCTCCTTTCCCCCCCGTTTCCCGCCCTCCTCCTCACACCCAACCCAGAAACTGTAAAGCCCTTCCCCTCACACACAAACACACCCCTCCTCCCCTCCCCCCTCCTCGCCTGCACAGCCGCATGCGCCTCCTCCCACGTCTCCCTGACCGCCCCCCCCACGGTGGACTCGTTGAGCTCCATGAACCCCGCGGGGAGGGTCCACAAACCCCGACACGGCTCGATGGCGCGTCTGGGGGACCGCCATGGGGGGGTTGGGGGGGAGAGTGCGAATAGGCACAGGCGATAGACGGATGCATGGGGATGGGGTAGGTTGGGAGGGGGCCGGATGGGGGGACAAGAGGGAAGGGGAGGGAATGGAAGGCAGGTAACCAGGTAGGCAGAGAGGGAAGCTGGCTGACCCGTGGGTCGGTCGAGTGGGCCCGCGTTGCGGTCCAGCTGTCCATCAGTCCTTCCTACCGCTGCTGCTGCTGCCGCTACTGCTGCTCATCGTCACTAGTTGTTTTGGGAACCCACGCCGCCCAGCAGCGCCCCCAGCCCCCACATACCTCCCCCCTATCTTCCCCAAAACACATGAATAGCTGTCGTGCCACCCTCAACGTACATACGCCCTCCCCATAACCCCCCTCCCCTCTTCCCCCTCCCCTCCCCAACCCACACAGACACACAACCTTTCCAGGTAAGCCCCTTAACAACGTTTCCCCCGCCATCCATCCCTCCAGATTCATCCCGCCCTTCCCAACCTCACCCTCCCACCGCCACACACACACGCACTTCCACACACACCTATACACAGAAACATAGAAACACGGTACAGATGCTCTCATATCATCCTCGCCATTTCCTTCCTACGAACCAGTTAACTATATACACACACACCCATACACGCCCCCACCCCCACCCCCACCCCGCCCCCACCTGCACAGCAGCAGCTTCCCCTGGTGTTCCACTACACAGCCCACCACCATCTTGGGGTTCAGGTAGTCCACGTAGCCGCAGCTGCCGCACACGTGGCGCCATTCCTTGTCGCCCGTGGGCTTGGACACGGACAGGCGGCCGCCGCATACCCTGGGAGACACCCACATATATAGACACACGCACACACAAACACACACAAACATACACACACAAACACGCATGTCCCCCCGGAGATAGGGAGGGAAAGAGAGGGGGAGAGGGGGGAAGTGGGGTTTAGTGAGCGGAGAGGAGGGGGGAGAGCGCATGTAAATGAAGTTTGGAATGGATGTGAGGCCTCCGTGTCTGCTACCTACCTCCCTTCCCCCAAAAGAAAGCAGGCAGCAGCATCAGGAGAGCGGAAGATGTAGGAATGGGGAAGAGAGTCTGGAAAGCGATACGGACAGACAGACGGACAGACAGACGAACGGACAGACAGGTTGCAAGAGAAACAGTCCGTGGCTGTGAGAGGCAACATGTAAAACGAGCCCCACATAGCTTGAGAGGGGCCCCGGGAGGGACATGCAGGCAGGCGGGTAGGCGAGTGGTGGACAGACGAGGCAGCTTGGGGACGAAGGTAAATCCATCCACAGATCACTACGCAAAACCCAGACAGTTCAAACGGGCATCCAGCCAGACGACCGGCAGGAGGGCTAAGGATATATGACAGGACGGCCAGGCGTGTGATCAACTGAAAGATTTGTTCCATGTACTGCAGTACGGCAGTGACGTACATCATGGCAAATGGCAAAGTATGAAGACACGTGTAGTCAAGCGAGCTGAGGCACCTTCGTGCACATCACGATGCAAGGGCAATGCTGGCGCCCACGTTCGCGGGAGCATGTCCTTTCGTCGCGCTGGAAAGCTCCCCGTTGGATATTAGTTTCCACTGTACGGCATTGCCCCCTCCAGCCGTCCGCCCAACGCATCTGTGCAGGGTCCGCCCTTGCCTACCTGCAGAAGTTTGCCTTGACCTTCTGCATCCATGATGGCGGCTCTGCAGTGCTTTGGGGGAACTCTTGGGCCGGGGCCGCTGTCGTCGAGCTCATCGCCCTAATGACAGGCCGACCTGCCGCGCAACGCAAGACGTTTGCAACGCTACATAAACTGCTGCGAAAGCCCCGTACAAACTGCTGTCGATGTGTGTGAGGGGCTGCGCAAGCTAAGCGAAAAGGCTCGAGGCTAGAAATAAACCTTCGCGGCAACGTATGTGTGCCTCCCAAGAGCGCCATAAATAAATCCTACTTAGATATTGTTCACAGGGGGCATAGTCGCTAGCAGGCCGGCGTTGTGTGCCCCACAACCGTATCTTATTCAGACTTTGTCCGTGCCCGCGCAGTCATCAATTTGTCTTCGTTTAAACAATGAAATATGTTCACCTGATCTGCAAAATAAAATGCGAATTGCTGCACAGAGTGTTTGTTGGCGTTCCGTCACTGCTGTGCGATGGTTGTCAGTCTGATCAGACCCCGTATGCCCCGTACTCGACTCTCCTTTCGGGAACTCTCAAGTTCCCGCGTCGCATTTCACTTCAATTTTGGATAGCCCGATCCGTGCACTGTCACACTCATTAGCTATGTTTGGCGTTCTGCATCGCCCACCGTGCCCCGATACTCTCGCCAGCCGAACACCTGGCGCGAAACAACGCAATCCTCTTCTGATTAGAGCGGATGTAGCGCATCAGGCCCGCGTCCCATCGACAGGTCAGGTCCCAGTCAGCTCTTGCAATCTCGTCGCGAGGAGCCGGACAGTCATCGAAATGGTCCGGTCAGCAACACGCTCCCCATCGCGGTCTTTTGCACGCAGGCCATGACCGGGATCAGACTAAAGAGCAGCCAGCTCTTTCCAGGCGCCAGGTACTGGGTCTTTCTGCGCCGCTGCTGGGCGCATTAATTGGTGGAGTGCTGCCGTCCATTGGCCAGCTGGTCGCCACAGCCCCCGCCACCGCCGCTGCTATTTCTGTCCCAGTTACTCCCTCCAGGGAAGTCAAGGCAGCCCTCAACAAGGCGCTAGCCCGGGCCATCCCCAAGGCCAAGGTGGGTGGGCCAAGTAGGCACGAACGATTGAAAGGAGGGAGACGCCGCACAGACCGAGAACGTGGGCGGGGATTGGAGGTAACGGCCTGAAATTCAAACTGCGTTTCGGTGCGAGGCGGGTAATCCGAGGTAATGCGATATGTCAATAAAGCAACAGCCAGGTGTGGCTTAGGAAGGAAGGATGCCCCAGCTTTTCAACCCACGACACACGACATGAGAGGAGGGCGGGGGAAAGAGAGGGTGGGGTGAAGTGGGAGAGATAGATAGGAAGGAGAGCTGCAGTCCTTCCAGGCCTCTCATCCTGGTTACCCTGTGCACATACACACATACACACACATACATACACACACATACATACACACACAGCCCACAGCAACCACTGATGTGTACGGGTATGGAGCTGCGGTGGGGCGAGGACATGGCCACACCCCTCCCTCCAGTCTTCCGTTCATCCAGTCCTCCACCTCCCTGCGCCCACCGACCTCCGCCCCAAGTGCCCCATCCCCGGGGGTGGGTGGGTACCTAGTGCGCAGTGCCCCCCCCTGTGCACCGGGGTACTGGCGTACGGCTTACCCGGCTGCTACGGACTGACGATAGGACACAACAACAACAACAACAACAACAACAACAACAACAACAACAACAACATCGTCATGTTCATCTGCCATCCCGGGCCCCACCACCCCTAACCCCGCCACCGGCACTCTTGGGCCTCGACGGCGTCCGCCCCACCGCATCACCGCTTCAGCCCCGCAATGTGTCGTATGCGTGCGTGCGGGCTTCGTCGTCACGGCTGAATGCGTCTTACTTTCCTTGCCTCCCCCCCCCCACCTCACCCGCATGCACATACACATACGTACAGACGGCCGTGGCGCTGCGACTTGTGTTTCACGACGCGGGCACCTTCAGCTTTCCCCCGGGGAACGGGGGGCTGAACGCCTCCATACAGTACGAACTGGACCGCCCTGAAAATGCGGGGCTGAAGAGGGGGTGGAGGATCATAGAGCAGGTGCGTGTGTGTATGTTTGTGTGTGTCTATGCGTGTTTTGTTTGGGGTAAGGCAAGGGAGGGGAAGGACAGTCCCAGCAGGGTAACCCCCTGTCCGGGTGCGTGTGGCGGCGTGGGTGCGCCTGGCACCCGCCCCTAGGGGGTGGGACTTCATCCATCCTCGAATGCAATGGCACGGCGACTATGCGGTGGTGGTTCGTATGTGGCTGAGCTGGCTCAGGGTTATTTCCTTAGACCCCAACAACCCACCAATACACAATTACACACACACACACACACACACACTTCCTTCCCCCTTCACGTAGGGTCTCGCTCTGTTTGGGGCTCATTACGTATCTCATATGCCCACCAACTGATGTGTATGTTCCCCCTGTCTATCTATCTATCTATCCGTCAGGCCCATTCTTCCTCTCCCCCCGCGGCATCACTTCCTCAACCCCTCACGTCCCCGCCCGAAACACACAGACACACACACACAGACACACATCCCCCTCCCCGGCCCCCCTCAGGTCCGTGATGAGCTGCGGGGTACCCCCGCCGAGGGTGTTGCGACGGATGCGGACCTGGTGGCTCTAGCTGGGGCTTATGCGGTGCGGCTGTGTGGGGGCCCGGACATCGCTCTGGCGCTGGGCAGGCCGGTGGCGGCGGCGGCCTCCCCCGACCCCCCGGACCGCATGCCCGGAGAGAACTTCACCGCGGAGCAGCTCAAGGCCAACTTCGCGGCCAAGGGGCTGAGCGTGCAGGAGATGGTGGCGCTGTCGGGTAGGGGGGGGGTAGGGAGCGGTTGGGATGAGGGAAGGAGGAGGGAGGGGGTAAGCTAAGCGGGGTTTTTCGCTGTGTTCGGCCCCCCTTTGGGCCCCCCTCTTGCGCTTCCCGTTCCAGTTGTAGCTTTTAGGCCTTTACTGTCCCTTTCCCAGATGGATGTATGTATGCATGTATGTATGTATGCCCATGGCATGGTTACTACATAACACCAGCATCTTTTGAGAACAGGACCGCGGGCTTTACGGGCCCGTTGCGCGACCGACTCTGCCCCCCTCCTCCTACAATTCCCTCCTCGGCCCCCTGGCCAACGGGACGAGCCCCCGGGGCCCTACACTACACTACACTACACTACACTACACTACACTACACTACGCAAAAGTGTCATCATATTTTAATGGCTTTCCCTTGTATGTATATTGGTCGTATTTGCTTCTCCTAACTCTCCCTTTTTTCCTCGCGCCCAACACCCGCCGGCCACGAGGGAACCCCAATCCGACATACGCACAAACCCGACATACCTACATACATACATATGTACGGACACACGCGCAGGTGCCCACACGCTAGGCAGCAAGGGCTTTGGGGACCCCACCCGCTTCGACAACGAGTACTACCGGGCCCTGCTTCGCCGCCCCTGGACCAATCCCAACGACTCGATGGCCTCCATGATCGGCCTGCCCTCGGATCATGTACTGCCGGATGACCCGGAGTGCCTGCCGTATATCGAGCGTTACGCGGAGGACCAGGACGCTTTCTTTGCGGACTTCGCGGCGGCGTACGTCAAGTTGACGAGCTTGGGGGTCCCGGGGTGGGCGGTGTGAGGTGTGGGGGGAGAAGGGGGGGAGGCGAGGGGAGGTGGGTTTCATGGGGTGAGCCGTGTACGGATGTTACAGCGGGGTGTTCGATTTAGGAAGAGGAGACTGCGGATCGGGTCACATGGCTCAGCCGTCCTTGATTCGTTTGTGGATGTGGAGCGTGAGGATGGGGCCGTGGATGTCATCCTTGCTGCAGCGGCTAGGCGGGAGGAGGGTGGAGGGGAGGGGAGTTTAGGGTTTGGAGGAGGCTAACGATGAGTAGGAAATTAGGTATTGGCAGGGGGGCCCGCGAGTGGGGCGGAGGAGTGGTGAAGCCGGGGAGGAGGCGGTGATGGGGAAGCCTCGATTATTTTGCTTCCTAGGGCGCGGAATGCGTACTATTATGACTGAAGGGCCCCCAGGTGCCCAGTGGTGGGGTGGTGGGGGTGAAGAGGGGGGTCCTTAGCTCCGTCGTGGAAGTAAGACCAGACAAATAAGCGCCATGGCCGCGTCCTCCTCGTCTTCTCTTTGCCCGGTAACGCTGCACCCACAACCAGACAATCCGCAACACCAAGTTATTACAGGTTACCCGTTTCGCACAAGTGAGAAATGGGGGGAGGGTCTGCAGCACCAGTAACCAGTAACCCAGCCGCTACCAATTCCACGATGCGCAACTCATCCTTTAGGGGATGAACAAAGGGGAACCCTTCGGTCCAGACAACTCATCAAGAACAGCAACAGGAGCAGCAGCCAAGCTCCAGGATGTGTTGGTCCCCCATCGCGGGAATGTGTGATAGGTCTCAACAGGGCGCAGGACGGCAGCGACCCACCCGTTGAGACAAGGACTGGAAATACGTCCATGTAAAACCCTGGCACCTCTTCCTCCAGGACAGGCCTCTTCCGCCGTACAGGCCCCGTCCCCTGGAGCGCCCCCGTCCTCTCCGCTCCTCTGTCTCCGCACAATAGAAAGGTTGTCATCCCTATTTTCCCGGGGCTCCGTTTCCCAAGCCCCCTCCCTCGACGTGGTACTACTGACAAACGTCTTCAGGCTCCCACATACTGTGTGGGTGTTGTATGGTCGTGGGGTGCGTACCCCGCACCTGCAAACCTCTTTTGAAACCCGCTTGGCCTCGGTGCCTAAGTGAGGGCGTCTTCCCCGTGCCAGGAGAACAAGCCTATCCAGGAGAACAAGCGCATAGCACTTCGCCAAAGCGCCTCCAACCGCTATGCCCCGGTAGTACTCGGCGTGCTGGGGTCACCCTTCTTGTAAATTGGGGTGAGGATGGTAGTTGTGAATTGTCGTGGGAAGGAGTTCCCAGTCGCCCTGATGTGTTCCAGCAGCACGTGCAGCACCAGGACAAGCTGGTTCACTTCCCGCCGTCACCTGCCCCTACCACTACCCGACACAGAGCCTTCCTCTCCTCGAGGCAAACGCGCATATTGGTAGCACTCCGACAGCACTGCTTCCAAGCCTGGCCGGGCATCTTACTGTTAGGCAGCCGGTCAACACTTCTTCCAGCGTAAAAGGGGGAACTAGGGTTTCTGTTGCCTGCCCAATCCTGACCAAAACCAAGCGGGATGTCCGCCACTCCTGCCCCTCTAGGCGTTGCCCGAAGTCCCACATCCGTTCTGGGAAGAAGAGGAGGAGAGGACAGCGTTCGAAGGGGGCCCATGGAGGGGGGCCCATCTCCCTACTGGGCTCACCCGTACGCGCCATCCCATAGATCCACTCTATCAGGCCCGGTAGCGTGCCAGTCCCTTTCACGCGGGTCATACAAGGTGGTGGTGGTGGGTTCATGTGCAAATCCGCAACTGAGCATGTCGGACATCACCCTTCGGTTGCTGTCAGGTGCGAAAATTGTTTCATATGTCTGTGACGAAAAAGGCGGGAAAGGTGCTTGGATTGGTTATAGGTTTGCGGTGCGCTGGAGTGGGAACGCATGGGCAGGGCCAGTATGGCTGGGAAAGGGGCACCAGGGTGAGAGGCGGTGTGGCTTGGTTGGACAGGCTCAACTTGTGTGCATGGAGAGGATCCACAGGTTGAGTAGGGTCCCGAGCTGGTTTCCGGCGTCGGTTCATATGAGAACTAGACAGCAGGCGACAGCAGTGTCCTATGAGCTTGTAGCTTTTGTTTTAGTTGGATGGCGGGCGACTGTATGAACTGGCCGTTGACTGGGCGTGCCTTATTGAAGCCCAATGAAGGCTTTCGCAAATGATATGACGAAAATATCCACGTTGCTTCTACCTTCGGCGGTCTTGCACTCACGGTTTTCCTTTGTGATCGTTGTTTAGCCGTTAGGAGAATCCAAATCCACGCGTTCTGGCGGGGCTGCCATGTTGCGTTGAGCATCTGTGCCCATCAACAAGGGATTATCAGTTGTGATCGCCCTGTGGAATGAACAACCGGCTTGCAGCTTGAAATGCAAGCTTTGTGCCAGGGAAGACGCTATGCCCTTTCATAGGCAGCACAGGCGTAACTTCGCGACTACGGACGCTCGAAAGCCAGCATAAGCATTAGAACGTGTAGCTGCTAAAAATAATAAAAAACAATAACAACAATGGCTTATGGGCTCAACCTTGCGGGGGCGCACCGGGAGCAGCAAGATGCCATTCGCGGTGCCAAAGACAAGGACAGCGCAGGTGACATCGTCATGATGGATCTGGAGGATGATTTAGATGATGGAGCAGATGATGTTGGCGCCGATCAGGACGACGAGAACGAGCAGGCGGCCGGGCCGCAGCCCGACCCCGTGGACTATGAGCTGCTCATCAGCGTGGCTCACGGCCTGGGCAGGTGGATGCAGGACACAACCACCGGACAAAAAGTCTACGTAAAGGACCAGGACTGCATAGGTAAAGAATGTGGTGCTTGGACGCAAAGATGTGGAGTAAAGCTGGGCGCAAACGACAGCAGCACATGTGAAAAGCTTTTTCGCGCATGCCGTTGTTAGACCAGGACCGGGGCCGGGGGCACAAAACAGACCACGGACTACGACAGGCGACTGGGTGGGGGTGGCCCGGGGTGAGGGGGAGATGGAGCGGGTGGTGTGTGTGTGTGTGGGGGGGGGGGGATTGGGCCGCAAGGGCAAAGAGGACGGGCACAGGCGCTTAGAGGCTCAGGTGGCGGGCCATACCGCACGGGAGTTGCTCCAAAACCCGAAAGCCTAAAAAACCTTCAATGGGGTGGGGTTGGGGTTGGCGGGGTCCGGATATGTATGTACGCATGTATGTATGTATGTATGTATATAAGGGCTTCCAGGTCGCAGAACTGTCGTAGGGGTTGCTCCGTGTCGGTGTTACAAGGTCGCGGGGTGCCGTACCCCGTACACACCTGCAAACCTCCCAGTACAAGCCGAGGGCTCAAGGGCTGCCAGGTCGCCTATAAGCATCATCCTACCTGGCACTTCAGGCAAAGCAAGTGATAAAGGAGATTTAACGACCAAAAGGAACGATAGAGTTGCGGAGGGTGTCGGTATTAGCTTCAGGAGGCTTTGACTTTGGGGGCTTTGACCTGGGGAATGGAAAAAAAGACTAGTTGTTATCGTTTGTGGCGATGTTCCTATCGCCTTCCTGTGCTCGCGCTCTGTTGTTGTTACTGGCGGTGGTTGGTGGTTTCTGTTGGTGCATCAGTATTTTGCAACGCCATGGCGGGGTGCGAGGCATCCACCCAGAAAGCACAGCGAACTGGACCAAAATACATATATATGTCACGCTCAGAAATTTTAAAGCTAAATTGCCAACCGCCTTCTATGTACGACAACACCCTCTAGGCTAGTATGTACGGTTGTACGGCATGAGCCGTCTGCATCCATGCTAGGTCAGCTCACGTCGCGGGCGACAGTTTATTATCATCCCACCCATTAAAAAACCTGAGCCCCGCCCGTGCTCATATAGAAGTAAACACGCTTTGCCCCAGTCGTTATTGCTCTACAGACGAACACTCCTGCGCGAACAATGCCTTAGCAAAAAAGCCCTTCTCCACCCTGTCGGCCATCCCTTTTCCTTACTGTACTTTTTTTTCCGCCCTGATTGGAATAACCACAACCCATATCCGCATCCACCCCGCCCTTCCCTACCCGATATCGAAACCCACACCGGGCGGTTTTTTTCAACACCAGGATGTCTGAAAGATCTTCAGCGGTTCCTCCGCCGGGACGATCCGGACATAAGGCCCGTGTTCAACCGGTTGGGCGAGTGGCGCATTGCCGTACAGGACCTGGTGCCGCTGCTGGTTACGTACCCCCACGACAAGGATGTCACGCTGCAAGCCGGTACGGGTGTCGTACACATGGGTGCGCGCGCGTGTGTATGTGTATATATGTGCAGGGGCCATGCTAATGTGTATGTAAGTGTGTGTGTGCGTGTGCGAGTTGCGTGTGTATTTGATGCGGAGGGAATCAGGGTGTGACGTGGCTTGGAAGGAGTTGTGTTAACGGCAACAGTGGGATGCAACGAGAATATTAATTTCGAAATGTGTTTAGGTGGAGGGAGGTCGGGTTGGGGAGATTGGGCCGACGGTGTACGGAAGGGACCAGGGAGGGGAGCTGGCACGTTTGTAAAAGCCCCGAAACTCAGACAGACAGACAGACAGACACACACACGCACATATTCAGGGGTGTGTGCATGTGGCACAGGGGTTCCTGCATCCGCCCTGCCTGCTCTGCCGTGTCCTTATCCCTCGTTCCCGCGAATTCCCCACGCACCGCCGTCACGTCAAAACCCACACAAACCCACACGCACACGTGTGTGCAAAAAACACTTTTCTTCCCCCCTCCCCCTTCCCCCTCCCTCTCCCCCAGTCAAGGTGTTGACCTACCTGACCATGCCCGTGGACCCCGCCACATCCAAACCGGAGATCCAGGAGGGGTTCGTTCGGGACGTGAAGGAAGCCATGTTGCAGCCGGTGGGTGGGGCGGGGTGGGGTGGGGTGGGGTGGGGCGGGGTGGAGCAAAAAGGCACGGTGGGGGCGACTCTGTGAAGGCGAACAGGGGAGGTCAGTGCGGTTCAGGGAGAGGAGGGAGGGTGGGAGCGGTCATGGGGCCTAAGAAGAGGAACACAGGCCGGGAGGGGGGTGTTGGGTGCTTCACGGAGTTTTAGGGTTTCAGGGGGTGGGAGCGGTCATGGGGCCTAAGAAGAGGAACACAGGCCGGGAGGGGGGTGTTGGGTGCTTCACGGAGTTTTAGGGTTTCAGGGCCACCCCGCCCCGTCTCGCCCTGGAAGCGGGTTTTCCCCCGGACCGGACGTCGTACATCCTTGACGACTTGTCGTACAAGACTGCGACGCAGCATTCAACTCAGGGTTTTGGTCCGAAGTAGAGGAGAGCATCACACGCTGCCATCATTACGACTTCCCTCCCTTCGCCAACTGAGTTTGCCATGTTGTAGGAATGGTTCTCAAATGTAAGTCGAGCCAAATATCCCGCACACCTTACCATCCCTCTGAACACCCTCCTCTTCTCCCTCCCCTCCTCCCCCCGACACACATACAAACAAACAAATCCCCGAAACCTCAACCCACACAGGACGCCCTGGTTGCCGTACTGGGCCTGATCGCCGAGCCCCTGGCCGCCCACCCCCGCCTGAGTCCTGAGCAGCAGGGTGCCGTACAGCTGGTTCTGGTTCTGCTCCGAAACCTTTTGGCGGTGCCGGACGAGCGGCCCTCCCCCACCCTGGCTGCGGGGTCTTCTAGAACCCGGCTGCAGGTGCGTGTGTGTGTGTGTGTGTGGCTGAGGGGGTGTGCGCGGGGGCCCCCCTCCCTCCTGTAGCCGAGATGACGCACGGAAAGGGGGAAGGAGTTACTGTCGTATCCCTTTCGGGTTTGGCGATCGTAAAGCTGGTTCCCGTTGGTTGGTTGGTTGTGGAGAGGCCGGAGCCGACACTGACAGTACGACGACAGCGACGGCTCTTTGTTGTTTGAGGGGCTCGGACTTTGATAGTGGGGTTTGTGTCCATCCTGAGCTTTCGGACCTTTCTTTTGCTGTTTTGTTTCGTTTCGTTTTATACTTGACCAGTAGCCGGTGGTTGGCGGTTGGCGGTTAGGTCCCCCGGTAGCAAATAGGGAATCGCATCCCGGACTTCTATTGTGGTGCCAAACCACGATGCCGCGGGTGTGTGTGTGTGTGTGTGTGTGTGTTTGCGAGTGCCCTCCCTCCCTCCCCCCCATACCGTATGTACATGGGAATATGCACGGTGGCACGCGCACAGGCACTTCCCTGCGCTGGGCAATAATTATGTATATAATACAAAGTTACTTAGTTAGTTAGTCTCCGTTTCTGTTAGGAGACCAGCGGGCATAGATCCCGTCTAGCTGGAGCGCCACCCCCGGAGGGGAGCGCTGATGTGTGCCGGCCGTCGTTTCCCGTGCGGCCTGACCCGGGGGCGGAGTGCATGAGACTAACCGGCCGTGTGCATGCCCCCCCACACCCGCTGTGTTTCGGCCTCCTGGGTCCCCCCCGGCTCTCGCGGCCCACAGTGTAATCAACGTCATAGTTAGCGCCTGCTGGTTGTCTGGTCCACTACACTACTCCCCGTACATACAGCACCACCACCACCACGACTACCACCACCACACCGCCACCACAGGCCTCCCTGCTGTCGCTGCTCTTTTCCGAGAACATCCTGGAGCTGCTGCTGCTGGTGGCGCAACACGGCACCCAGGCGCCCCTGCGGAGAGAGATGCCGACGCTGCTGGAGATATTGTACGACACATACAGAAATGTCACTCCGCAACAGCTGCTGGCAGCAAAGCCACCGCCGCCACCACGGGCGGCGCAACAGCAGCGAAAGCAGCAGCCAGCGCCGCCGAAAGCGCCGGCGGCCCCTACCGGCGCCGCCGCAGGCGGCGGCGGCGGCGGCGGCGTCCGCCCATCGCTGGCCGCTTTCCATTCCACAGGTGCCGCCGGCCG